TCTATCTATCTATCTATCTATCTATCTATCTATCTATCTATCTATCTATCTATCTGTCTGTCTGTCTATCTGTCTATTACTTCTATGCATGCTGTAGCACTCCATCGGCCCAATTTAGATCACCAGGAAGTGGGCTTCGACTCTGCTTATCAGGGCCAGCCAGGGATGAGAGGCGAGAGGGATACAACATCTCAGTAGAAAGACCGAGATACCCGACAAAAATTCTCCCCACTCGGGAATCAAACTCGGGTCTGTGGGCGGTTGGCGGGTGCTCTGGTGTGGTCTGCTCCTTCTTTCCTATCAAACATCTGTCGTCCTTATCTCACCTCCTTCTTTTTTGTGTTTGTTACTCTCTTGTAACGCATAATCTATTCTTCGGCACTTATATGACCTTATTGTGTTGCAAGTGCCGTAAAACTCTTACTAAAACTAAACTAAACTCGGGTCTCCAGCATGTGACAGCGATAAAGCTCTTTGCTGTTGCATGCAGGAGACGTAAGTTAGATTCCCGTGCGGGACATTTATTTAAACAAGTATCTCCAATCTGTCAATGTAATATTGTAAACCCTCTCAGTCCAGATTGCCCTTAACAGAAACGTGTACGATTAAGTTAACGAAAGATAACAAAACTAAAAATACGAATTTAAAAGAAAACGAAAGGGTCAAGTGAAAAAAAAAAGCCGAAGTCGCATAAATCACACCTCGACAAAGCATACTTTTAACCTGTTAATAATGGAATTGGCGTTTTCTGGACTTTATTAGCTGTTATGAAAATACAGTTTGTGAATGAATTATCGTAGTTGGGTTTTTCACTTGATTGATTTCATAGGGATATTCTAAAGAAACGAGTTGTGAATTAAATTAAAGGCCAGTGCCCTGAATTTTTCTCAGAATGTGTTGAACGTGTTCTTCATTAAAATGTGACCATTTAAATTCTCTTTTCACAGCGACGTCGGCGGTTCTCTTCGGCGAAAGAATGGGCTGCTTCATGGAACCGCCTCCTAAAATGACGTCCGAGTTCATCGATTCGGTTCTGAAGAATGGGTATCTTACCGTTAAGCTATTAATGTTTCCTCCAGCAGTTCTGAAATCCCTCAAAATCAAATCGCATCAAGAGTATGAGCAAATCTGGGACAAGCTTTTTCAAATCAGTGAGTGGGTAGAATATGCTTATCTACATCCCTTTCATATAAACGATCTAGTTAACTTTACAGTCTCTCTCTCTCTCTCTCTCTCTCTCTCTCTCTCTCTCTCTT